AAATCGGATGTTTTTCATTTGTTCAGCATTTCCTCATTATTTCTAAAGTAAAGATTTTGCCTGGTCTTCTATATTCAAGGAGAACTCTGCAGAAGTTTTTACCAAAAACAAATGAGAAAGAATTTGAACAGAAATATGTCCATAAAAAATTTGGAAATATATAGAACTTAATAAGCTTGAGAAAGTAGTTACACATTGTATATTTCTGTAGCTGGATTTGACATACAATACACATAACATTTCTTTTTAATCTTTTTATATTTCTACCATTATTCTGAGTCAAATAGCATTTAAACTGTTATTTTACAGGTAAAATTATGATACATGTGAATTCTAAAAATTTAGCACAGTAAAATAGCAAAATTTAAATATTACATATAATTACAGCTAGCAAAATGACTTAATATAAAAAGGTGCATAATTTATCAAAAGTTAGAAACCCAACATTGTAATGAATATCACAGAAAATGACAGAAACTCATACCTAGGCTGTCAGAATCTAGAGTTTCTTTTATTAATTGCTGCACTAGACTACCTCTGGCTAGTTTCCAAAGACAGGGAGTTGTGAAGAATGGGTGTTTTTGAGATATTGCTAAGTCAAGCAAGTTAACAGTCATCCTTTCATAGTTGTGTGTGTGTGTGTATGTATGTATTGAGCTCCTAAAATATACTCTCAACAAGTTTCCTATATGCCTTACAATTGTTGTATGTTACATCTCTAGACTTTTTCTATGTATCTGCAACTTTTTATGCCCTTTAAGATACATCTCTAAATTTCCTTTCTCCTTTGTATTCATTGTTTTATTTTTTTCTGTGTATTTGAATTTTTTACATTCATTGCATTCACATAAATGATACCATGCAATATTTTGTCTTTATTTAGTGTAATATCTTCCAGTTTCCTCCATGTTGTTATACATAGTAGCATCTGTATTTTTAAGACTGAATGATGTTCTGTTATGCATATATACTGTAGTTCCTTTATCTGTTCATTTGTCAACATTTAGATTCTTTCTTTGCTCTTGTGAATAAAAACAGCATGAGAAAATGAGCATGTCATGCGCAAGGGAATCTACCTTAGACTATCAGTAGATTTCTCAGCAGAGACCTTCCGGGCTGGGAGGGAGTGGTTTGATACATTCAAAATGCTGAAAGGAAAACCCAAAAATACTCTATCCAGCAAAACTCGCCTTCAGAAATGCAAGAGAAAAACTTTCCCAGACCGCCAAAAATCTAAGAGAGTTTATCTCCATAAGACCTGCCTTCAGATGTTCAAAGGAGTTGTTCAAACAGAAACAAAACAATGCTAATTACTAAACTGAAAACCCACAAAGGATAAAATGCACTGATAAAGGTGGATCTATAGTCAAATTTAGAATAACATAGTTAGGTATGTAACTCACATGTCTGTAGTATGAAGGTGGAAAGGTGAAACATAACTATAATTAGGACACACAACGTAAAAAGATGCAAGTCATGACATCAGAAGCAGTATGTGGAACAGAGTAGTCTTTGAATACAAAGTTTTTTTTTAATGAAAACATACTTTATATACGCCTCGCTGTACCCATCAAGCAAAAAATGATTGTACATATACAACAGATAAAAAGAAGTCAAAGCAAATTAAAACTGCAATGAGATGCTTCTATACACCTGTTAGAATGGCAAAATCCAAATCACTGAGAACCCCAAATGCTGATAAGGATGGGGAGCAGTAGTTCTGATTCATTACTAGTGGGTTTGTGAAATGGGACAACCACTTGGAAGAGTTTGATGGTTTCTTAACAAAAGTTAACCATATTCTTAGGTTATGATCTAGCAGTTTTGCCCCTTGTATTTACCCAGATGAATCAAAACTAGATGAATCTGCACAAAAACCAACACATAAATGTTTATAGCATGTTTATTCATAATTGCTCAAACTTGAATCCATCACGATATCTATCAGAGGTGAATGGACAAACTCTGGTACATTCAGATGGTGGAATATTGAGTGCATGAATTATCAAGGCATGAACAGGCATGAAAATGGAAGAAGCAATTCTGAAAAGATTACATAAGCTGTCTGATTCCGACTCTAGAACATTCTGCAAGAAACAAAACTGAAGGACAGTTAAGATGACCAGTGATAGGGGTTATAGAAATGGGAGGGATTACTAGGTTGAGGACAAGGCATTTTTAGGGCAGTTCCTGTATGTGTTGTAGGTGGTAGATACATATTGTCATACGTTTGTCAAAACCAGTAAAACACACAACACCAATAATGAGCCCTAATGTAAGCTGTGGACTTTTTGGGTGATAATGGTATGTCGATGCTGGATTATTGATTGTAGCAAATGTACATTGTGATATGAGGGTGTTCCTGTGGATAGGGTAGGGGGAAGGGAAGGGTAGATGAAAGCTCTTTGAGCTTACTATTCAATTTTTCTTTGAACCTAAAACCACTTTAACATCTATTTGTTTAAAAAAAAGTTTTTAGAACAGATCCAAAAGCTGTTGGAAATATTTGCAAATGACTGACAAGTCGGAAGAACTGACTTCTAAATTTAAAATTTTGTAGACAGAAAAGGAAAAAAAAAATACAGTAGTTAATAGAAAAATGGAAACAAGAACATGAGTGTACTATATACAACAAAAAAAGCATTGCTCCCTTTAAACCCGTCAGATTGGCTGATGTCAGCGTGTAGTGACATGATGTGAAGAAACACCAGCTCATAAACTCTTGGTGAGACTGAACATTTTGAGAGGACTCTCTGGTACTGAGTAAAATTTCCTTTTTATTGAACAATTCCTTTATGAAAAATATGTCCTGTAAATATATATGAACCTGTATGCAAGAATATATTTACAAAGATTTCTGTAGCTGTTTTAGCTGCAGTAGCAGACAGTTGATTGAAAGTAGCTGAAACAGGACAATTATCACGTCTAACAACTGAGTGCTTCTAGTGGGCCAGACTTGAGTAGTTGCATTTGCCTCAAAGTTCATATTAACTAACAAGCTTAATTTTGTAATTTTATAATGAGCCTGCCTTTCTGTAATCTGTAAATTAATTTTTGTCACATTTGCCTGGACTCCTGTTAGTCTAAGTGATTCTGCTGGTCCCTTTTGATAAGTATTGAATGGAGAAGTAAGTCTTTAATAGATATGAGTAATTGGACAGTTTCTTCCATTTCTGGTAGTGACTTTTGTTTACTTACATCTGCTTCAGGAAACAGCAGTGAATTTTTCTTCATTGTTCTAAATATATTTTGACCTTTCTTGTACCTGTTGTGACTTGCCAACAGATTTTTCAGAGTGAGGGACAAAAAAAGAACATAACTCAATTGTGTTATGGAAGACTTTTGTCTTCTAAAAAAATAATCCTCATCTGTTCTCTCTCTCGGATTCACCTGCTTATCCAGGAGCTGCTGTTTCACCTTTCGCCTGCTATTTTCCGCCCTGGTTATCGTGGTGTGTGGTGAGAGGGAGCGCAGCTTAGGCTCACCTCTTACTCTGCATCTGTGCCTGGGGGTACCTTTAAAGCTTTGGGTCATCCTCTTTTAGATAACTTCCCCTAAATGTGTAGTGAATGAGGACCAGAAACAAAATGTATCTCATGTTTGTAATTATGATTATTTAACATTTTGTGAAAACTGTCTTTTAAATATAGTTGCATAGAATTGAGCCAAGTAGTCTATCGGTGTTTGTTTTTTCCTCTTTTTCCGTTGTGTGTGTTTGTTCATCTTCCTAGTTTGTGTATTTCTCCCCCTCCCTCACCTCACCTTATTTTCTTGATTAGATTTAACCTATATAAGGAGAGATCAATTTTATAGGAAAATAAAATTCTCAACAAATCACTTGGATAGAAGAAACAGAATGTCTTGGAGTAAATGCTAGGAAATTATTGACTGATTATGCTGGTACTATACTCTTTAAACCGTTCCAGAGCATAAAGACATTAAGCTTCCAGATTGTTCGGACCTTGTTCACAGAGTCTTACACACAGTACTCATGTAAATCTGCGGACTAGTGTTGCTTGATACTAGCCATGAACAAAAATCTTAAGTAATGTTTTTTTCTTCTTAGTCTTAAGGCCAGTATCATGCTTACTGAGAAAATACTTGAAATGTTGTCTTTCAGCCAGAAGGAACCATCACCACCACTTTTATCAACATGTGACAAACCCCAAAATGATTCACAAATTAAGTCATGTAACATTTGTTTTTAATGAATTGAGTTGCAAAACTGATGACCAAATACAAGCATCCATCCGTGAAAGGACTAATATCCTTAATCCTAAAAGAGCCTTTACAAGTCAGTAAGGACAGTGTGATCAACAGCACAATACAGAAATGAGCAGAACAGACTCATCACAGAAGGAAGCAAAATGTCATTTTTAAGAGAAATGCAAATTAAGACACAACACCTCTTACCAAGGGCATCCCTCTCCATTTGTGTTGTTACTGAGTGGTAATTCTGCCAGATATCTATCAGAATTACAAAATGCACAAATCTGATCTCACAGTTTCCCTGATAAGACTGTCCTTCAGTGTGATTGGAAGTATGCAAAATGTGCAAGATGAATTGTTCCCATCTTGGGTTTTGAAGCAGTAGATTGAAATAGCCTGACTGACCATCAATATGGGTTCATAGTATGATGCCACACAGCTGGCTGATAGGTGTAGATGGTGAATAGGAAACACAGCAACATGAGCGATCTCTGATAGAGGCACATTACAAGTATGTGTGCTTACGGTGTTTCTGGAGCATACATAAGCACTTCCAACGTTAGATGGCTTTGGAAAGAGGAGCTGGGTGGCTAGAAGCCAGACTGTTTATAATCTTTTGTACCTTTTATGTATAGGAGCTCTCCAAATTAAAGCAGCAGTATGTTTTGAATTCTTGGCATTTAAGTTGTGTATTATTGGTGATAATTACAACCAGTATAACCAGTTGTATTAAGTAATATAGAAGTTCTAGAAATACTTGAGCATTAAAGAATTGAATCCTTTTGTTTTAGGCTCTCCAGCAGAACTGTCTCCTACTACTCTTTCCCCTGTTAATCACAGCTTGGGTAAGTTGCAAATAGCTTTTCCCCTGCCATTCATACACTGTATCACCTGCATAAAACTATTTTCTAAGCAAGAAAGGAGTACCAAGGAATAATCAGGTAATCATGCAAATGGTTTAAATTAGTGCTTTTAATTTTTTAAAAATGAATCTATTTGAGAGACAGAGAAAGAAAGCTGCAGTTGGCTGTTTGACTATCTTAATGCTTATAATGGCTGGAGCTTGGCCAAATCAAAATTGAGATCTAGGAACTGAAGCCAAGTCTCCCACATGGTGGCAGGGACCCAGTTACCTAAGCCATCATTGCTGTCTCACAGGGTCCCCATTAATAGGAAGCCAGAGCAGGAACCCCAGCTGTAATTATACCCAGACACTGTGATGTGGGACATGGCCATCTTAACCAACGGCTTAACTGCTAGGCCACACACCTGTCCCTACATTAGTGCTTTTTTAAAATAGAGATTACTGGGGGCCAGTGTTGTGGCATGGCGGATCAAGCTGCCATCTGCTATGTTGGCATCCCATATGCGTGCTGGTTCATGTCCCAGCTGCTCTGCTTCCAGTCCAGTTACCTTCTGATGGCCTGGGAAAAGCCAATGGAAGATGGCCCAAGTGTTTGGGCTCTTGCACCCCTGTGGGAGACTTGGATGAAGCTCCTGGCTTCTGCATGGTTCAAACCTGCCTGGTACAACCACTTGGGGAATGAACCAGCAGGTGGTATACCTCGCTCTAACTCTGACTTACAAATAAATTAATAAATATTTTAAAAGACAAAATAGATATTATTGTGTCTCAGTATCACTAAAGTCTCTATTGGTACATATGAATGTAATAAATGATCTTTATATTCATTGAAATTATACTTTATTCATCAAAAATTTTATAGCCTATTATATGTATCTATGGGTTTGTTTTACAGTATATCTTATCAGTTACTACTATAAGAGGTATATATAAATATATGTATATACATATAAAATATGTATGTGTTTTAGAGCTGTATACACATATATGTGTGTATATACTTATGCGTTCCTGTGATTTATTTTACGTGCTCTTTTATATTTATAGTTTCCCTTCAGTTTCTAGCCATTCAAAGTTCTTCAAAGTTGTCAGGGTTTTTTTTCTTCCATAATATTATTATTTATGATACACTTAGTCAAGAGTGCCAAGGTTCAGCACATGTGCTCCCACTTTTCTGATGAAATGAGTACTCTTGAGCCCTTGTTCTATTGATACTTGCATACTCTTTGTGTTTTAGTACTTTTTGGTTCTAATTTGGTAACTCACTGAGAGTCTCATGTTAAAATAGAGAACTGTCAAAAAATATCTCACGTTTTTTGTCTTCCTTTAAGACAATGTTTTTTCTTGTGACTTCCAACTCATTAATCTTTGCTCCAGCTTTATTCTAGTAGATTTACCTTTATTATGCTTTTTAGAAATGCGCTAAGTACAACAAGTTGCAGAGTTGGGCTCTGGTAGTTTTGTATTTGAGTAAGAACTAAGCTGAAACTACTGGTAAAACGAATAATCCAACATAATGTGACGTTGTGAGATGAGGGAGATTTGAAAATTGGAAAATCTGGTAGGAGCTGTGGAAACGGATACACATGTTACTTCGGTCTCTTAGGTGTTGCCAGTGTGTGCTGGCACAGGGCATGTGAGATGATGAGATTCCATCTCTTTATGACTTGAATTGTTCACATACTTTTTTTTATGCTTCATTTCTCCTAGATTTGCAGCCAGTTACTTATTCAGAACCGGCCTTTTGGTGTTCAATAGCATATTATGAATTGAACCAGAGGGTTGGAGAGACCTTCCATGCCTCACAGCCTTCCCTCACAGTAGATGGCTTTACAGATCCATCAAACTCAGAGAGGTTCTGCTTAGGGTTACTGTCCAATGTGAACCGAAACGCCACAGTAGAAATGACAAGAAGACATATAGGTATGTTTTATGTTCCTTGTGCAAAGAACTTACGTATAAGAACCCAGTCCTCTGGCAGTTCAGCTGCTGTCATGGTTAAGTACACAGGCTTTCTTTGATTCTTCAATCTGCAAACTCTTGCCTTCAAATTATTATTTGGCACCCTTGACACTGAAAAGTTCTTCAGTAATGTGTGTTACAATAACATAAGTTTGTTAAGTTTTTGCCATCATAAAATGAGTGTGTTCAGATAGTAGGGTTAATTGTTATAAATCATGAGGTCCTCTTCCTCAGTTTGTTTATATCCCCTGTTGTATTTTTTTCTTCCTTCTGTGAGCTCATATATTAAATGATTTTAAAAATCTTAGGCTGAATATTTAAAGCAAGAGCTATCATTTAATATAATTCAGGGGGGTCTCAAAGTGTGGTCTCGGATCTGGTAATCCCAGAAACACTTGCAAGTTTCTGAGGTCAGAACTATTACGATGGTACCATTTTTACTCTCATTCTTTCATAAGTACACACTGGAGTATTTCAAAGGCTACATGGCATATGGATTTGCAAGATCTACCAAATGTAGATCTGATAGGAAAATCCAGCTATGTTCTGACAGACCTAAGAGATGTGCAAAAATGTGAAGCATTGTCACTCTTCTCACTATTTTTTTCTTTTGGATAATATGGTTGTTTTCTGTAAACATTAATGGTGATATGATTGATTTATTTTTAATTGAACTTGTGCGTGTTTTTAAGTCTGTTTTAATATCTGACGTCTAAGTTTCCATAAATGTGATCCATACAAACAGAAGCTCTTTGGAGTCCTCAATATTTTTTCTAGCAGTGAATCAAATAAGTTTGAAAGCCTTTAATAATTGAATGTCATTCTTATCTTCAAAGTAACTTAACCAAACTTTGCTTCTGTTTTCCTAGAATTAGCTCTCATCTCCCATGGGAAATACTGCTGATAGCCAGAGTGATTTTGGTCCTGCAAAATGATAGTGATTAGGAGATCTGTTAACTGTTTCCACGTGGAAGTTCTCAAATCTTGCTTGGTGTATAAATGTGGATAATCTCGTTAACGTACCCAGATGTGCTTGTAGCTCAGAAAGGCTTCTGAATATCTGTCTACTCCTACATTTACCAGAATAATTGTGGGGGTTTTCTGTGTATTTGTATTTTAATTGGGGTTCCGCATAAAAATTTAACAGAAACTTTATTCACTTCTCTCTATAAAATTTTGGGTTGCTGTATTTATCAGATCATTTTTTGTACTTCAGATTTCTAGTGTATTAAGTAGTTTTGATCAGAGAATACTGCCTGAAAAATCTTTTTTTTTTCAACTTAATCTTTTACTAATGGGCAAGCACCTGATTGTTTTACAAATATCCCATAATCTTAATAAGTTACCAGTTTCTGCATCTACCAAATCTGGCTTATTGGTTGTTTTACCTGTTTTCTTTTACTGCACAACAAAGATAATCCTCCTCCAGTGATTTGCTTCCTTAATGCCACCTGCAGAGTCCCTTCCCAACAGCACCTGGCTGGATTGAGTAACAGAGAAGGCGCACGTGTGCCAGGGCTGACTCTTAGGGACACTTCAGGATCTGCCTCCGACAGTTCTGTTTTACAAATTCTTATTTCTGATTTGTGTGTGTGTGTGTCTTTGATCTGTCAGATGCTGAACGAGCTGTTAGAACTGTCTGCTAGGATAAGTTTTCCCTTAACTAATTCCGTTTATGTTAAGAGAGATTTTGGTTGCCACCATGATACATAGTTTCAAAAAAGGTGAATGATGCTTAAACTCTTGAAATCTTTTTTATTACCTTCTTAATCTTAGTGGATCTTTAAGGAAAAACTATTTTAATGAAGATATCTTTGTCAAAGCATTAGCTAATTCCTTAAATTAACTGTTTCTTATTTTAAAATAATATATACTTTGTGTGAAAATATTTTACTATCCCTGTCCTTTTCTTGTTTAAATGCTTTTGATAAGCATATGTGCAGGGTTTTCAAGAAGGTCGTGGCAAATGTGTGCTATCAAAGGTATGCATGGATTTCAAAAAGGTTTTTGCACCGAAGTAAACTTATCTTTTAATTCCATTTTTTTCCATGAGGTTTTTGAAGTACCCTCATGTTGCTTTTAAAACTTAGTAAAATTATAGTTAAAAAAAAAACTATAAAAATATACAGTGGTATATTTCGACGTTAGACTTCAGAAAAGCATAGCTGTGAAATAGCTCACACCATTTTAGAATGTCTCCACGAAGACTCTTCTAAAGTCACACTGAAACAGTGTTATAAAACTAATCCCATATGTATTTTGTTTTAGGAAGAGGAGTGCGCTTATATTACATAGGTGGGGAAGTTTTTGCTGAGTGCCTAAGTGATAGTGCAATCTTTGTGCAGAGCCCCAATTGTAATCAGAGATACGGCTGGCACCCTGCAACAGTGTGTAAAATTCCACCAGGTATGATTCAACAATGTCAATAAACCTGTCACATCAATTCGCTTCGTTTTTCTAGTTGCTAATGTTAGGAATCAGGCAATGATTTGCATGCTTGTATTCTAAAACCTCTAGCTATTTTAAAATTACTTTCTAATAGTGATACTATTTTTTACACAGTTTCTTTTATTTTTTCCCCTCAATCATAGGCTGTAATCTCAAGATCTTCAACAACCAGGAATTTGCTGCTCTTCTGGCTCAGTCTGTTAATCAGGGGTTTGAAGCCGTCTATCAGCTAACTAGAATGTGCACCATAAGAATGAGTTTTGTGAAAGGCTGGGGAGCAGAATACCGGTATGAAATCCATGTTCAGTTTTTAAGTTTCCACTGTGTAATTCTTTTCTTATTCCATTGTTCGCATCTTTTGGAGTTCCCATGTGTCTGTTTTCATATTGGTAATAGAGTCAGCCGATCCTTATGTAAAATAATGAAAGAAAGGTGGAGGTCTGTAGAATCAAAATTGTTGCAAATTACTGTGCTGGCATTATAGGAAATCTGATTAACACGGACACACATTTTAACATAATGCAGGTTGCTGAATACCATAAAAGGAGTATATTGCAAGGCTATGTCAGCTCATGGAAAGAGAAGCATTGGCAGTTAGAACTTGAGGATGGCTGCCTGGGAAAGATGGCACACGGTCTCAGTCCAGGTTCTGTAAGATGCAGTGGTCACAGACAGGGTGGGTGAGATAGGAAATTATAATCCTGACAATTCAATAGCAGTTTGGTTTGGCAGAAAGCATATAGAGAAAAATAAGACTGGACAAGTAAGTTAAGGCCAAATACAATAGTCCTCTTTCATCTACAGTTTTCAGTTCCTGTGATCAGCCAAGTTCTGAAAATATTAAATGGAAAATTCCTGAAATAAGCTTTAAGTAAATTATTATATTCTTATAATTGTTCTATTTTTATGTCATTATTCATCTTTTACTATGCCTAATTTGTAAATGATAGGTACTAAGTATGTATGTATGGGTAAAACCTTAATAGTGTGTATAGGGTTCGGTGTTATCCATGGTTTTGGTCATCCACTGGATAAAACATATCCTCCAAAGAAAATGGGGGTTGCTCTTTGAGGTTCAGATCAGGGGACTGTTATTCAGGAGTAGAAGGGTACTTGTTGTGATGCCAGCCACTGTACTGTATATCCTGAGAAGAATGACGCTTTATGTTGTTAATCCTTTGTTTAAATGATTAAAATCGGTGCAGTTGCACTCTTTGTGATTTACAAATTGTTTGGAAATTTGTTTCGAAAATTTTGATAATTTGCCCCAGGACATATCGTAAGTGGTTGAGATGGGATTGGAAGACAGTTCTGCTTGACTCTTAACCTCTTCTCTAAGGAGAGGATTAACAGTTACATAATTGGGTCTCACAAAACTCAGTTTTAATTTGTCATCAATGTGTACAATATTATTGCCAAATTAGGTGATAGGTTGGATTCCACATCAAAGAGTGGGAAGAGTTCTCTCTTAGCACACTAAAGGATAGGACTTAAGACACTGTCTTTCGGCAACTTGTCCAAGTATTGCTTACTCTGTGCATGCCTGCTTAAGAAATACTCATATCATATAGTAGTTGTATTCCTGTTTTGTTTAGTTCCTTCAACATTTATTTGGTTTGATTTGGACTTGGTTACCTGTTTTTGAACAAGTTACGAAGCATCTGACTTTTGTCATTTATTTATTTGAAGGAGTTACAGAGAGAGAGAGATTTTCCCTGCATTGATTCACTCCCCAAGTGAGCACAGCTGCAGGGCTGAGTCAGGCCAAAGCCAGGAGCCTGCTGCTCCATCCTGGGCTCCCACTCTGGCAGGAGCCCGAGTGCTTGGGCCATTCTCTGCTGCTCTTCCTAGGTCATTAGCAGGAAGCTAGATGGGAAGTCGAGCAACCAGGGCACAAACCAGTGCCCACATGGTAAGCTAGTGTCACAGGCAGTGGCTCTGCTGTTATGCCTCAGTGTCAGCCTTGAGGCATCTGCCTTGTGAAATGGCCAGATTTGAAGTCTGCTGGTTGAACAGTTTTATAAAAACAAAGTATGTTAAACATTTATATCCTACAGTGAAGGCTTATCATTCTTATGCTGGGTTGTTTGGAGAATACCTAATTTTGTTACTTTACTGTAGTTCTTTTGTTTGATCATTATCCTTTTGATATGTAGTATCTGAATGCCTGTTTTCATTTGGAGTTGAATTGACCTAAATTGACAGTAAAACTAGATTGAGGTGGTACTATCTGATAATAGTTTTTTAGGTCAGACTTTGTTTTCTTCAAAACATCAAAATAATGCCGAGTACAGTAGGAATTTAATGGGGTTAGGGAGAGTGTGTGTCTATAGGTGGTCTGCTAAGAAGAGTTCTAATTGTGGAGAGAGATGCTGTCATCTTTCCTTCACATTCTTAATCAGAGATAAATTGAAATCTATGATTATAGAAGCAGCAATATAGAATAGGTTTTTGATGGGTGTTTGGAGTCAGGTACCTCTGGTTGTAGATAATCAAGCAGTTTCCTGTAATGTGTACAAATCGAACCTGTGTGCTTTACTGTGGGTGGGCACCAGGAGCTTTTGTCTTCGATGGTGCCGGAGTGGAGTTCCTCAGAGACCTAATGGTTACATTTCTACAATGATTTTTCAGTTTGTTGCCAGCTTAGTTGTTAGCATAACATTTAGGAAATACAGGGAACAGGGAATTTAGATGTCTGAAGAATTCCTATTTAATGTTTATTTTTATTTGAAAGGCAGAGGGAGATTTCCATCTACTGATTCACTCCCCAAATGTCCACAACAGCTAAGACTGGACTAAGTCAAAGCTGGGATCCAGGGACTCCGTCCTGGTCTCCTGCATGGATAGCAGGAGCCCAAGTACTTGGGCCATCATTTGTTGCCTCCCAGGTACATTATCAGGAAGTTGGATTGGAAGCCCTGTGGCAGGACTCTGTCCCAGGTACTCCAGGGATGCAGGCGTCCCAAGCGGCTGCTTAACTCACTGTGCCACAGTGCTCACCCCCAAAATTCATTAGAAGTACCTTGCTTGACTTTGAGGATCAACAGGGTTCAAAATAATGAGATTTCCAAAGTTAATTACTAATTAATTATTATTCCTATATTAGGGTGCTTGAGTTCAATTTCTGACTTTTGCTCCTAACTTCAGCTTCCTGCTAATGCAGACCCTGGGAGGCAGTAGTGGGAAGGCTCAGGTAATTGAGTGCCCACATGGGACACCTGGATTGCATTCCCAGCTCATGGCACCTTGGCACCACCTGGCCTTGGCAGAGCCCCAGCTGTAAATGAAAGAAAAAGAAACTAGATTTTAGTATATGCAGCCTTCTAATTTCTCAATTCTTAGCGTATATGCCTAAACCTATTCATGTTGCTTTAATTTATAATTATTTTCTTGTATTCATTTAAACAGAAGGCAGACAGTCACAAGTACTCCTTGCTGGATTGAACTTCATCTGAATGGACCTCTACAGTGGTTGGACAAAGTATTAACTCAGATGGGATCCCCGTCAGTGCGCTGCTCAAGCATGTCGTAAAGCTTCAGCACCAGCCAAGTCCATCGACAGACTCCGTGTAACAGCTCTTCTATCATAGTATTCGTGTATGGTCCCCGTGGACTGTTTACTGTCCAGAAATTCAAGAGAGAAAACAGCACTTGAGGTCTCATCAATTAAAGCACCTTGTGGAATCTGTTTCCTATATTTGAATATTAGATGGGAAAATTAGTGTCTAGAAATACCCTCCCATAAAGGAGGAAGAGAAGATTTTAAAGACTTAATGCTGTCTTGTTGGGCATAAAACTGCGTGTCCCAAAGGTTTATTAATAACAGTAGTAGTAATGTGTACAGGTAATGTATCATGATCCAGTATCACAGTATTGTGCTGTTTATACACATTTTTAATTTGCATAAATGAGGTGTGTGTGTGCTGCTTCTTGATCTAGGCAAGCCTTTATAAAGTTACAGTACCTAATCTGTTATTCCCATTTCTCCGTTATTTTTGTGTGTCTTTTTTAATATATAATATATATCAAGATTTTCAAATTATCATTTAGAAGCAGATTTTCCTTGTAGAAAAACTAATTTTTCTGCCTTTTACCAAAAATAAACTCTTGGGGGAAGAAAAGTGGATTAATTTTTGAAATCCTTGACCTTAATGTGTTCAGTGGGCTTAAATACTCATTCTTTTTGTGTTTGTTTACTGCTAAGTTTCATTATAAGGAAACCATACTGAAAATCTTTCCAAGCCTCTTATCTCCATTACCACTTTGTTCTTATACCAAAACAGTGTAGCATGACATCATTGCCAGTAGTACTGCACTGACAGAGCCAGCACCAGTTGATTCTGGAGTACAGTGTAAGTGTCTATGGATGAAGTCCCGTTGCCTTACAACCTAACTGCACCAGATAATAATTGACTTGTATAACTTAGTAGTTTATGGATTTTTCCCTTCATTTCATTAAAAAAATGCACAAGTAGCAGTATAATTATTTTCAGGGATATGCTAGAATTACTTCATCAGATTTATCCTAATTTTTAAAAAATTCTGATCATAAGTATAAATAGCCTTTTTGAAAAGGTGTTTTAAAGTAATCCAACACAGGCCTTCTGCCCTTTTGAGTAGTTTCATTGGATTTAGTTTACCAGATTGTATTGTGAAATGGACCTTTTGTAAATGTAATTGCTTCTGTGAAATGCCTAGGAAAGCAATGCTGAGGCGTGGTTAGCAGATAAGGACCAACAAGTATGTTGTGTTCAGTTTATAAATCAAATGTTATTTTATATGTTAGGAATGCAGAATTTTAGACGGTGAGGGAGAATCTGTTTAACAAGATTTTCAGCTTAAAATTAGGTGCAGTCTGAGCTGTTGCTCTGGGTATGTGGTTGGCCATCTTCCGTGTCTGCCGGGAGAGGAGCGTGCAGAGGTGGCAACGGCCCCTTCTGCAGCCACCTGGTGACTCACTGCCGTGCAAACATTTCTCTCGTCTTGGAAGAAATGGAAGATAGCCAGTCCTGAGCCCCTTTTCATAAATTTCCGTAGTTTCGAAGATATCTTTGGCACTTATTCTTTGAAACCATATTCACCTTTATCTGTGTACAGGCATCGTTTTTGATACCTTCAGCATTTGGTGGTTTTCTGTTGGATACTCTCCCATTTTCCTATCCTTATGTATGTATATGTTCATGTACATTTGGATTAGGAATGTTTTATTCGTTCAACAAGTATTTATTGTTCACCTGTTATATGCCAGGAGCTTTCTTAGGTTTGGGGTGAGGGTGAACAAGACAGGTAGTGGTCCCGGCCTTTCTCGATAGCAGTTACTCAAACCCTTACTCAGCCTGTGAAGGAGGTGAGCAGATTGCTGTGCTGGAGACTAACGGATGGGTTGCTTCCGTGGGCCGTCTGGGGAGACCTCTGGAAGGAAGTGATGCTTGACCAGCCCCTGACTTGGAGGGCACGAGATGAGCCAGGGGAATACGCATTGCTGCTGACGAGAGCAGCGTGCCTCTCGGAGGCTGGTTCTTGGGCACCGATGCTCTGTGCAGAATGAGCTGCGCTAATCCAGACCTGAAGACCGGCACAGTTTGTATGACATTGAAGGGGCCTTATGTTGTGGTAGACTGCTTGGTGTCATTCTCACTAACATCTCTTCTCCCTGAAACTCTGATGTGCACATTTCTCATGTGCGCCAGGTCAGTACCACTTCCTTGCACGTGTCCCCCCATTCTGCTGCTTGCTTCTAGACTTCCTGCTCCCTGCTGCCCATCTTGTGATTAGTCAGTGTCCCAGGGGTCATCACTGTCGAGCCCGCTGGAGATAACCAGTGGAGCCCTCTGCCCCTCTTTGAAAGCCTTTATTTACTTGAGAACTTTTAGTGATGGGGGACAGAGTTGGGGTCAGAGAACAACTTTGGAAGTGGTAGAAGGTTCTGGCAGTTACTCTGATAGACATGTTAATTGAAGCAGTGGCCCCCTCTGGCATTTCCGTAGCGGAGAACGTCTCCATAACTCTGGGGGGTTTTCTGTGCAGTAGGAAACCGACACTTGACTCTTCGGAAGCGCCTGTTGTATTGAGCCGATATACCTACATGTTAAGTGCCTGACTTCATCATGGGGATTACATTTTTGTGAATCTGTTTCACTATCTTACTTGCTTTTCAAATGGGATTCTCTTTTGCTTTATATTTTTGCCTACTGTTGCCTAAAACTCTGGTAGATTTATTTTTCCTTTTCAGGGGTGATTTTTATTCTAGGTGATAAGAGTCCCCTCTCTTGAATTGTAATCATTGTTTAAATTAGCAACAGTATTCACAATTTATCCTTCATTGTACTAACAGTGTATTTTCATGACTGACAACAAAGCAGCCAGGCTGCTACCACAGTTCTAGGATGAGCGCTAGTCTTCCCGGGGGGTTTCGAGACAGCTGTGGGGCTGGCTGAGGGGGCTAGAGCCTGGGGGAGTTCCCTAGTGACTTTGGTTTAACCTGTAGCAGCTTGGGTTTTATACACAGGATTTTTTTGGGGAGGGCAAAAATGTCATTGCTTAAAAGGAAAAGTTAGAATAGTCTTTGTAAGCGCAGGTTGAGCTTAGAGAATCTGAATTTGGGCCACCCTTTTGGTACTGCTGGCTGTGATGTGTTCACCCGCTTCAGAGCAGTCTAGACTGTTTGAACCACATCATCCTCCTGATTACACGTGGTGCTTTCATTCGGCTGCTAGACGTGTGCTGGTGCCTGTCTCGTCGGAGGCAGACACTGCGATAGATGTGGAGTAGTAGAAGGTAACGCCGCCGTGGTCCTGGCTCGCAGATCAGGACCTGTCACCTTGCCAGGGGCAAATCGGCCTGGTTTTTCTCGCTGACTGAATATTCTTCCTCTGCAGTCCCTCCTGTATTCCGAGTCTGTATTTACAGGTAGTGTACCATCTCTATATTTTCTGCCTTCAGCCACATCCAGTGGTGTCTGGTCTGCATTATACATCATCATGTTTTCCTCCTTTGTTAAAATTATTTTAGTGTTGCTTTATTTGTGCCTTTTTTGTCAGTTTCACCAAGACTAAGACTTTGATGGTGACAAACAATCAGTCTGGTCTCTTCTAGGTGGATAAATTAAAAGAGAATATATACCCAGTTAGTTTCTCTGCCTCTTCCAAAAGCTTTTCACGTGTATCTTTGAGATATCTTTATTTTAATTACTGATACTTAGAGCACTGGTTCAGTATTGGGTATTCTTGGTCTCAGGGTTGATGAGTTGGTGGTGGGATACACAGTAACACGGGACAATCTTAAGATCAGTCTTTGCGTACAATCTTTGCTTCGAGATTCCCAGTTTACCGTCACATTCCAGCCCCACCCCAGTAAGTGTCCTTTAAGAATAACTGAGCAATCTGTGGACATGAACAATGAAAGACTTTCCTCCTTCCCGTGTCTACAGCATTGATGCTTGAATTATTGCCTGCTTACTTTTCTCCGTATGTTTTAGTAACTCCTTAATATTCAGCAACTGAGTTTTATTCTTCCTTCCTTTCTCCTGATAACAAATATCCAAGGACCGGCGCCGTGGCTCACTTGGTTAATTCTCCACTTGCGGCACCGGCATCCCATATGGGTGCCAGTTCTAGTCCCGGTTAGTCCTCTTCCAGTCCAGCTCTCTGCTGTGGCACAGGAAGGCAGTGGAGGATGGCCCAAGTCCTTGGGCCCCTGCACACGCATAGGAGACCAGGATGAAGCACCTGGCTCCTGGCTTCGGATTGGCGTAGCTCCAGCCATAGTGGCCATTTCTGGGGTGAGGCAACGGAAGGAAGACCTTTGTCTGTCTCTCTCTCTCTCTCTCTCTCACTGTCTAACTCTATCTGTCAAATAAAAAAAAAAAAATCCAAGTGGCAGCAACTGGTGTCCCTGTCAACTGTGTTTTATCTGCATATAGCAGAATGATTCTGCCCTTGGGATTTTACTGTTAACCAAAAAGGAAGGTGCTTTCCATGCCCAGAGTTCAGTTTTTTCATCATGAAGTAGTAGTCGTCCGATTGGTCAGCCCCTTAAATCTTCACATGGTTCAGATGTTCCGTGTAGTTGCACATCTGGCAGATACCCTAAATGGCCAGGTTCTGGTTTACAATTGTCAGTGTCTCTGGCATTGCAGCCGGTGTTTTCCTTACGATACTAGCCCACCTTCCATCTTGGGGCACACTACGTGATTGTGTTTGGTACTATCAGGATAATGATGACAGTATGTAGTTCCCAGAGGCACAAAGATTCCTGCTGTTGAGTTCCTTTTATATCTTAGTTTTCAAGTTTTTGTGAATATTTTTTCTCTATAGACTTACCTTTGTGTGTATGTGAGGATTGAGGGGCAGATTATCTCCTGGAGTAGAATTCCTGTGCTGTGAACCTCACCACCAGGAAATAGTCCCATGGTAGCCTTTATGGAAAGAACTTGTTTCATGGGTTCTCGTAATTTCTTCAGCTGTTTTTGTTCTGCATATTATAGCTGACTTTAAACATGGCAGAACTGCTTCTACCTTTTTAGTATGAAGTGTTGTTTATGATCTGCATATACATTTATATATGTACGTACACTCACAGAAGCACCAAGTTGGAGTCATTTCAGCAGTGTTAAACGCTTCTGTTGTTTGAATCTCAGGTGTCAGTAAAAAGTTCTTCATTTGCTTGCCGACACTGTCCTGCCATTGACAGACCAGCAGAGTAATTTGGCTTTTATTCTGCCAGAGTCCTAATTTGGCAGTTGAGTTAGTATTGCATTCTTAAGCAGCTTGACAAGTAAGAATCCTAAGTGGAGTTTACAACAGCCAATAAAGCACTGCCGTGGACTCCCACTGAGTTACACGTGCCGTGGGTATCTGGAATGTGATGGCCTAAAATTCACTTTCCTCTTTATTTGATGATACACCTAGGTGGTTTCCTCCTTACAACCTCTTCCCTCCAGTGTGGTAGTGTTGCCTAATACTGGGAAGTACCACCTCAAGTTCTGTATCTAATGATAGCCCTTAAGTGGTTCAGGCCACTTGCTCAATGCAGATGGGTTTTCCAAGGCCTGTGGCCATCCCTGACCCACAGGGTGTCTAGCCTGAATTTGGGCTAACTTCAGTGTCACTTGGTTTGTTGCCATGGGAACATAATGGGCCCCCAAGGCCACCGTTGCTTAAGGTGCAAGGGCCTCTTAGAAGTAGACTGTCCCTCCAGATGGGGAGGAAGAGGAGTTGTTAATTCCACTAAGAAAACAGATTTTTCTTCAAAAGATTTTTTTTAAAAATGGCATTGTGCTACCCTCCTAAAAAAAGAAAAAAGAGCTCTTGGGTTTCTCCAGAATTTACCGTGTGCTCTTTTAGGTGAGGGGAGAGGGATTTACTTCCTGTTTGTAGTTAAAAATCATAATTTATTGAACAATGAAATCCATATATGGTGACTTAAGAACAAAAGTGAGATCTTAAAATTACTTAACTATGTATTTTGCATCTCACTGTTCTTTCTCCCTGTGTCTTTAAAGTTTTTGGCTATTTTACAGTGTTAGTCACTAGGTAACTTGCCATATTCCTAGTTCTATATTAAGTTCTACCCTTTACAATGCTGTAGCATAAAGTTGGGTTTCAACATTTGTAGAAATAGAAGTCTTAAAGTCTCTGTTCTCCCGGTGAGATTTTTCTTCTTCTCAGTAAGTCGCTAAGAAAATGTCTCTGCCACTCTCATTAATAACATTCTTGGGTTGTTCAAACTGGAAAAAATTTGGTGAGAAAGAGTGAGGATCCTTTTCTGGTGAGCGTACGTCCCTGCTTCCAGAATGTCATCTTCTGTCGGTTATGTAACTGATACACAGCATACATGGCTCAATTTAATGGGGAGGAATGATTATTACATGTAGCAAGAGGTAGCGTGCATGAATTACGACCTTTTATTAAAAAAATCCTGCCAAAATGCAGAGCCCACATACATCATTTCTGCAGCTGCTTATGCTGCAGGCTTCATTTTTGTTTCTGTGGTGCTGACTGGAATGCATACGCATTGCGTCTTTTTAGGAGTGATAGTGAACCTGAGAGACTGTTCATTTTACACAAGCAGGTTAAGTCAAGAAAAACTAGAGGTAAAGATGAAAGCGGTTCTTTAGTTGTTGAACCAGACCACAGCACTGCAGGCAAAATTCAGATGTTCAGATCTGAGAATATTCTTTCCCAAGGGCAGAGCTGCTCACCGAGCGCGGAGCACAGTGGCGCAATCCTGGTCCTTCGTAACCGGGGAGCTGTCTCCAGCTGGCAGCCCTCCTTCAGTATATGAAGCAAGAATGTGGGGAATAGCTGGCATAGAATGCTCTCACCTAAAAAAAGAATGTGAAAAGACATGCAAAACCGGATTATTCACTTAGCTCTGAGAACCTCAAGAAGATAACAGTAAAATGCCGAATAACTGGACAAAGCCAGAAGAAGCCTTAAAAGGTTTATCTTCGAGTGATTTCTGCACACTGCTCACTAAATGGCCAAGTTTCTACCAACTACTCTTAAAGTTAATACCTTTAAATTAGAGATCTGTGTTATAACTAGCTGCTGAACAGGCTTGGAGGAGGTAGCCGTTAGTAACCTAAGCGTGTCTTGGGGGCCAGTGCCCTTAAAGCTTACCTTACACTCTTTTGTTTGTTTTTAAAGGGTAGAACTGGGAGGGCTGAGCTCACAACAGCAGTGAGAGGTGCGACTGGGATTCTTCATTTTTTTCTTTTAAGATTTTATTTATTTAAGAGGGAGAATTACAGTGGAGAGAGAGAGAGAGCGCTTCCATCCACTGGTTCACTCCCCAAATGGCTGCCACAGCCAGAGCTGAGCCGATCCAAAGCCAGGAACCAGTTTCTTCCGAGTTTCCCACATGGGTGCAGGGGCCAAAGCATTTGGGCCATCTTCTACTGCTTTCCCAGGCCACAGCAGAGAGCAGGATCGAGAGAAGCTGGGACTAGAACCAGCGCCTGTATGGGATGTCGGCGTGACAGGTGGAGGATTAACCTGCTTCACAGCGCTGGCCCCTTGCCTTACACTTTTGAAAAATGTTGTCTTTTCTTAGGTGATACAAAGGAAGGAGCCAGTGGTGTTAGGCTGACTAGCTGCCCTGGTGCCGGGCCTGAGGGGGTTCCCTGCTTGCAGGAGTTTCAGTGCTAAACACAGGCCTGTCCCTGGCACCCCAAGTAGAGTTGATCTCCTTAGATGGACATGGTCGTGGCCGCTGTTTAGCTGCCCTATGGCTGTCTTGGCTTCCGTTAGTTTCTTGGATCCATGTCCTCCCATCACTCATTGCTGTGAGTTTATGACCGATCCTAGCTTAAGGCACCAGCACAGCATTGAGAGTAAAGGGCACCAGCAGAAGTCACTGGTGCTCCACTACGAAGAGAAGAGGTAACGAGGTTAAGTTTTCCAGCACCTGGGTATGCATCCTGTCCCTACAGGGTTAAATCTCACTTTTTTCACAGTTAAGGAAAACTGAGTGTGGTTGTAGATTTCTTCTCTTGCAAGGGAAACTATGACTTCTGATGCTCTGGCCTCCACTGCATTTTCCAGTCTGCCCTGCTCAAGAAGCCAGGATGTGGTCTTCTGTTTGTTCTTGGTGAATGTGAGTTGCAGGGAGTGAGCAGGCAGTGGCGAGTCCTGACGCAGAGGGAGCAGGGACTGTCAGATCTGCAGCCTCCGTCCTCCTGAGGTGTGTCCCAGGCAGGACGGCAGGCGCGTGAGGCGAGCTCTTGGTCACGCGGCAGTAACGGGGCAGACGCTGTGCTGGCTGCAGACTCTGTCCTCGCCTCCCTCTGCTTGTCCTTCGTGGCCGCATCTGCGCTGTAGTGGAGAGGGTAACTGTGCTCCTTGGAAGCCCTAAGCCGATGCTTGTCCGCAGTAAGCTGTGCTTCCTTTGTATCGTTGAGCGGGGAGCTGAGCCTTTATGGCAGCTGGTGCTCAAGTGAAAATTGTGAAATACTGATTTCCTTCCTCCACCCACACCAAATATTTTAGTCTATTTAAAGTACCAAAAAAAAAATTTTTTTTCATTCTGCTTAAGAAAGCATTGCTTCAGTGTCCTGTGACTCTGGTCAGTTTGGGTGTACTTTGTGTGCACATGTGTGTGCTTTCTCCTTTTACTCTGTATGCTCTCTACTTCTGTACTGTCACCAGTGAAAGGTGGCCAGTTTCCCCAGCATTAAAGGAAGAGCCATTGGAGTTGTTGACCTTGTTGTGGGACTGCTTTTTAATGATGTTCCTTGACATATTTAAACTGATGCTTTTTAAGTCATCTGGGAAAAGAAAACACGTGATGTGTGTACTCCACATACAGAAGTGATCTGAACAGTGCACTTCGTGTTTTATACTTGAAGTTATACAAAAAGACCACTCCCCCCGCACCCCGGGCAGACAGACAGGCACTGTTTAGTATCATCCCCCCCCCCACCCCCGGTGGTGTTAGGCAGTTTAGCTTATCTCACAGCTTGCGTAGGCCAGGTTAGTGATCTAAAACAAGATCTGTGCTGGAAACAAAAATCAGAAGGTGGAGTTCAAGTTTACTCTAGAAATGCACTTTTAGCATGAAAGGAAATACCACTTGGTTTTTAAAAGGCCTATTGAAAATGGCCCAATCCCTGGGCCCCTACACTCATGTGGGAGACCCAGAAGAAGCTCCTGGTTTCAGATCTGCACAGTTCTGGCTGTTGTAGCCATTTGGGGAGTGAGCTAGCAGATGGAAGACCTTTCTATAACTCTGCCTTTCAAATAACTATTTTTAACAAAAGACATCATCATAGTTTTATCATCCTGTAATTTTTTTAATCAGGAGATAACTGGAACATGTTTACTACTAATGTTCTATAACACATAGCTATAAACAATCTGAAAGGAACCTTCCAACATTGAACCACAACTTCCCTTGAGCTAACAGGGAATTGGAGTCTCTTTATTTATTTATTTTTTAAATTTATTTAAAAATATTTGAAAGGTGGAGTTACAGAGAGGCAGAGGGAAAGAGAGATCTTCCATCCGCTGGGTCACTCCGCAAATGGCCACAATGGCTGGAGCTGGGCCGACCTGAAGCCAGGAGCCCGGAGCTTCTTTTAAGTCTCACATGTGGGTGCAGGAGCCCAAGGACTTGGGCCATCTTCTGCTTTCCCAGGCCACAGCAGAGAGCTGGATCAGAAGTGGAGCAGCCAGGAACCGAATCTGTGTCAATATGGGATGCCGGCACTGCAGGCAGCTGCTCTACTCACTGCCGCAGCTCCAGCCCCTGGAGTCCTTGGCGTCATCTGGGAACACTTCCTGCTGATTAGGCTGCCATACATAGGGACACTGGGTATCTGTGCAGGTTTTTATAATGGCCGCGATGTCCGTAACTCCAATGCTTATCAAGTGGCTAAAGAGGAAAGGACAGATAAAAGGCTACTTTTGGACACTAACCACTTCGGAGATCTTTTCTTCTCATTGGCTTCAGACTATTTTGAAAGCCCAGTTGTAGCAAGAGGCGTATTCCCATCAAACTGCAGAAACCCAGTGCAGTCATTTTAAGCACTGGCTTCATTGGAGACTCAAGATTCACACTGTACAGCTTTTCAGCTTCCTTTTTGATGTATCATCAAGATATACAATGAGCCCAAGCTAAAAGCTCACAAATTTAGGAATTGAAGAACAATTAGCCAGTGTTCATACATAAAAAACTACCTTTTGTTGTAGTGACCAGTTATGGAAATACTTGTGGACTTCCTAACTGATTCTTGTAGGTCGTGCTAGTCAGCAAATTAAGTCAGGTGATTATAGACCAAGCATGCTCTTCAGGGACTGTCAGAGAATGAGTGAGTTTACCCCCAGTTCAAGCTACATGCCCTTATCCTGTCCTAGGGTAGATGGCGTTTATGATAGGGATTTGCTAGTTTATATAATTCGCCTTCAATAGTTTTGTTGGCTGCCTCTGCTCCTCTCAGTGCTATGTGATCGTAAGATCCCTGGACAAGTCTTGCAGTAGTGGGGAGGATGTGATGAGAGAAGGGAGAAGTGCTTCTGGAAAATGCTATCCAGGAGCACGGGGGCAGAGCCGAGTTGCAGTGCAGGGTTTGAGGACACCCTGGATTTGCAGGTGGGCAGCACTCTTGAAGCAGGACAAGAGGAGTTCTTGTTGTGGGTATGAACGTGCGTGAAAGTGAGCACTACTGAGCTGCTGCCAAACGTGGTGAGCAGGAAATGATGACCACAAGACAAGTAGATGTATCATGAAGCTCACGTCTAATAATGGAGACCACATAGCTCAGACAGAAAGCCATAAAGAGCTGCCCACCCGGGGTTTCATAACCTGCCACAGGATTCAGCCCCTAGGCAGGCTGAGTCAGGAGTTGGGAGATACCAGCTATAATGCAGCCAAGGATGGGCTGCGTGGCAGGGAGTGAGGGATGTTGTTACAGAAACGCACTGGTAACCTCTGGTGTGTCTACTTAGTGAAACTGTTACCATTTTGCTCACTTTTAGCTGGAGATTGTCCATCTAGAGAACTTCCTGAAATTTGTGCAGTTTTTTTTTTTCTTTTTTATGGATGTTGCTTTTCCTGGTGAGTAACAAATGGGATGAGACCTTAACCACTGCCCAGCATCAGCTCTCTATTGAGACCACTTCCATTGAACTTAAGCTAAAAATGCATTTACTCTGATTTCATGTTTTGCTGGGGTGTTTTTTTCATGAGAGCTTATCTGTATACTGATTTGCTACTAGCAGTATTTGATCTCATTATTTAAAATATAAGTGCCATATAAGTAGGAGTTTAATACAAGTGATGGCCCACTTATAAATAGCTGTTTGCAGTTGGTAGATGTGTTTAGGTTGCAGTGGGAAAGAAAAAAACTGAAACAAGTCTAACTTGCCATCTGGCTTAATAAAATATTTTATTGTAATGTCTAGGTTACCCTTTTATATTGAAAAAGAAAACAAACAGATGAGTGTCTTTGTTTTACCCAAAAACCACCAGCTACTTCATTCCAGTGTTTAAATCAAGATCTGGAATAATAGCATGTGGGTATCACCACATTTTAAAACCGTATTTATCAGCCACGAGCACATTTTCTAAGGAATTGGATTTCGTAGTGATAATTGAATGCTTTCATCTGTAGCAGAATTAGCGGCCTGCGAACCACTGTGGTTTCTTGTTCTGCAGCTGATGAAGGGGAATTTGCTGCTACAAGCTACATACATACAGGAAGTCAGAAGCAAAGGGAAATCGAACTTTTTATGTGTAAAATGAAAACTGTTGAAAGTGTTACACTTTAAAAGTTTAATTTTTTTAATTAAAGGTTTATTTTCCTGTGCTTTATCTTTCTGGTATCCAGGCATTTAACATAAAATCAAAGTTATTAAAAACTTGATTTGGTAAACCAAATTTTGGGGTTCCAATAATAATTCCTAGACTGTGTGTTGTGCAATTTTGATTTGCCTAAATGTCAGCTTCGTTTTCTATCCCCTGTGGCCCTATTTTCCCCATCTTCCTGTCTCCCTCTGGTTTTCAGCTGTTAGAAAACCGGCCTCATCTTAGAATACTTAATGGATTTGCTTCTGTATTTTTTAAGATCCAAAGATTAAAAAGGGAGACGTGTCTAAGAACCTGGCTTGTTTATATTACATTCTTCACAAGCTCACCTTTGACAGCGGGTGCACACCACGATTCCCCTGCTTACATCTAACCACTGGAGGAGTGAGCGTGCCGCTTTTCTCTACGTAGCATTGCCACCAAGGAGTAACTCGTGTTCTGGTTCAGAGAGTCCATGGTCAGTGATTGGCTGCAGAGGAGTATTGTACATAAAGCCTTTAAGATGAAATTGGGAAAAGGTGTAGGATCTGTATGATTTAGTCTTTTATTTGAGTATTTCTCAACCGGGAGTAGCTATTATGCATGTAGCTGTTTTACATATAAAAATGTTTATTACCATCTACTTGAAAGAGCAACTAGAAGACAGCACAGAGATCTTAACTTTAACTGGTTTACTCTCCGAGAGCTCAGGATAGTCAGAACCAGGCCAGGCTCCAGGCAGGCTCCCAGAACTCTGGGTCCTCCGTGGATAGCGAGGGCCCAGGCACTTGGGCCTGTCATCCGTTGTCTCCCAGGATGCATTAACAGGAAGCTGGACAGGAATAGTGAAATACTAAGGGCCATTGAACTGACAAAAATATTAAGAACAGAATACAAAATTCAGCTGCCATTTTTGGACAAAATAAGATTCTGCTAGCTTTGAGCCTTGGTTATTTCTGATGTAACGGAAAATGTAATTAGAATGAGAATAAAAGTTCTAGGGTTTGAACCCCAATTTTGCCAATTTATATGACCAGAGAAATGACTTCATCTGACTGCCTCAAAGTTCATCGTCTCTCCTCACATTCCCAAAATTGGGAAGTTAACCTGAGGGTGGCTCTGAGGATCAGATGCGAGGACTTGCGAGAGCCCTTGGCACAGTCAGTACCCAGTGTCAGGCCCTACCTGCAGGTCTCGGGAAAACTGCAAGATGGGCAAACTCAGAAATGCTTAATAAAGCCTGCTGGAGCAGCTACTGCTTGCCACAGAAGAAATCTAACACCACACAAACCCAGTGGCATGCAATGAACATCCAGCTTAGGAGCGTCTCTGGGGCAGTTCTAGTCTTGTCTGGCTCACTGCGGGAGGGACTCAGCTCCCGCGTGCCCCTCGTCCTCCCTGAGGCCAGCCCGGATGTGTTTTTGCGGAGGTGGCAGGGGGCGACAACAGCCACGTCGAATCCCACAGACCCGTTCAGATCTGCGTGCTGCACGTCGGCAGTGTTCACCAGAAGGGTAAGTACCAGCCCATAGGCAGAGGAGGAGGGCGCGCCGCACCCTCGCTGGGTGGGATGTGGCTGTGGCTAAGGTTGGCCCGCGGAGGAAAATGCGGAAGCTGGAGAGGTCTCGAACTGGACCAGTGTCTTTTTTTTTTTTTTTTTAAATCTAAAGGGTTTCTACTTCAGAGGATTAATTAAAAGCTCGTCTAACATGTGCTGTAAAACCAAGGAATGTGTTTTGTGTAAGGTGTGTCCGGGTGGTTCCTCGTGGTCCTTGTCAGATGGCTGGGAGTTCACACCCTCTGGACTCAGCCTGGCCCCAGCAGGAGTCAGGATCCAGCGGAACCTTCTCCCTTAGTGATGCACGTTCACATTCGTCACGGCCCCTTCCAACATGTGCCCCAGACTCCCGGAGTGCA